ACTGGCGGAGGACACTTCCTCCACCCCCCTGTCGGTCTAGCTCAAGACAACGGTTAAACACCGTTACGCGGACGAGTCCACCGTTGGCCATATTGTTTTTGGCGTTGCTCGCGTACACCGTTCGTGCATATTGTTCTTTTTCGCGCAACAAGGCAGCAGCTCGCTAGACCAGTTCGGTATCCAATTTGTCGTTTACTATTTTTTTATCTTGTATTAGTTGCAACCGTTACCATAAGAAGATATTCGTTAGCTAGTTCAGCATCAGCTCGTCCAGTTTTATGTTCGGACATTCGCCACCATAGGCCATTACGTGGAGGTTCCAGCAGCTCAGCGGTCCACGTGTTTCGATGCATTCCCCTTTGCTCTCTATTATTATTATCATATGTTGTTTATGAACGAGCAGTTTGCCCGTTCTATTAGTTGTTTCTTTTCTTTAATATCTTATAACTTTATAAGTATTATTTTGATATATATATATTTGTTTATGTCTACTGTTGGCTGATCACCCCAGTGACATTGTTATTATATTATTATTTACTATCTAATATTTTTATGTTAATATATATTTCTCTGTTAAGTTCGTTGTTATTTAATATATAATTCGTTCGTAAATATTGTGTACCCGTCCTATCCATTTAGGTGCAAGTCGCAGACGCCGACCTTAACGAGGGAGCGGTTGCGGCGCAAACAAATTTGTTAACCAAATTACAACATTAAAACACTTTCAAAAAATATAATAGGTATGCATTGGAATAATTGGCTTAAACTTTAAATTTATATTTTAAATATTACACTTATACACATTATTTAGTATTTACTTAAAACGTATTCTTTGGTTAAACATTCAAAGAATAGTAATTCATTAATAATTAATATTCTATATTTGATAATGGAAACTAACATTAACGATTAACCAAAAACCACATGTTTTCAGAAACAGTTTACCGGCATTTATTATCGTTTATCTACTAATGCGTGATAAGACCGTATACCAGGAAACAGTAACCAGTGTTATATTGTATAACCATAATGGTAAATTGTAAAATGTTATTTTTATACTTTACATATAGCTAATAACCATTTATATAACCATTTTATAAACACTTTTTTTATCTAATAGTATTGTTTATCTATCTTGTTAATATCAATTATGACCCTAACGGCTAGTGTTAAATTGAAATAAAATTTCGTTTTGACTCCTGGTTTTTACTGTTGGGTTTGTAAGATTGCCCAGTAGCAGTAAATTAAACGAATATTAAAACATTAATAAGTCGCAAACGGATTACTCAAATTAAATTCTATAAACGTTAAAATTATTTTTTCCAGTATGTTTATAGATTTTCGTTATCGAAAATAGGTATTGCCATTTAAAAATCGAAAGTTGATAGTGTTTTATCAAATAAGGGAGGAAGTTAAAATTATCAAAATTGTAATACAGTGTAAAAAAGTAAATCTAGAAAGTTAAAAAAAAAAATTATTTTAAAATTCCTTATACTCCCCGAGATATTAACTGGTTCACGATAAAAAAATCACTCTGTATATATATATATTAATTAGTGGCTACTGCACACCCAGAAGTATAGAAATAATAATTATGACCTGGTGGCAACAGCAGCAGGATCCACAGGAACAACACGTTCAATGTTTCACACCTCGTGAACCACACGAGGTTTGAATAAAAATGTAATGTGATGAAATTGGTGAGCGAACGCCACGATGCGTCCGACTCGACCGTTGGGAAAATATAGATAGGGACGTTGCGATACTACCAATACCAGTAAAGTATCGATACTTTTCTTTCGATACAAGTACTTTTGGTATCGATACCATGGTTCCGATACTTTACTGATATCGATTAAAAGTACTGGTATCGAATCATTTATTTACCGCCATATTGCTGATATGAACATAATATGATATCGGTTCAAAAGTACTCACACCGGCTTCTACTAGTTATTTCTATTTTCAAAAAATACCACAGACCAACAGACCATATAAGTCCATAGTCCACAAATCACAATGCAAAAGCCATTAGATTCCCTTATCAGTTTGATGAAGTGTTTGTTTACTGAGAAAGCCAGAAATATCAAATACTATCTTGCTATATTGTTACTATGAATACAATATAAGTTAAATTTAACTTGTTCTATGCAACGAATTCGGGGAAATACACAAATATGCATTATGGCACTAATCAGTCGTTCCAAATTTTCACCAATTCTACGTCTCCGCATTCCGCCGTCTGTATCCAATCGAATTCGAACACCAGTGCGATGTCACCTCCTAAAAGTAAGAGTTGGCTATATTTTAAAAAAGTGGACCATTTACTCGCCAAGTGCAAAATTTGTTCACTAGAAATAAAATATTGTGACAACACATCAAATTTGAATAAACATTTGAAAAAAACATAAAAATATATTGGACGAAACGACTTCGAGTGAGAGATCTTCAATTAACATGACAACTGGTTCTACTGCTAAACAGTCAACATTGGCTATAGTATCAGTACCTCATAGGTAAGTCATGTAATTTACAAATCAGTATATAATTTTTAATTATAAATAAGATAATTTATTATTTCAGTGAACTACCAACTAATATTATTTCTGATAGTCAAGTTGTTCTATCAAAAACAATAGTTCAACACACAGACCCAGAGCCTGAGTCAGAGGTAATATACTAATATCTAATTAGAGTAAATGTTTTCATAGTAGGTAATACTGTATTGCTACTAACAAATTTATTTCATTTAAGGAACATGTAGATAATCCTCAATCATTTAAAAAAAAATCGACTACAAAACCTATTGTTGATGCATTCAATCGAATCAGCTCATATTCAGGTATTACATAACATATAACAAATATTAAAAATATATAGAACATTTTTATGTTTGTACCTATATAACTATCCCTCTACTATTGTAAACACTTATTGTACATAGTTTTATGTTAAATTTAATAATTAATAATGTATTATAGTGTAATTTAACTATATACATTAACCTAAAGATGTTTAAATACGGTATTTTATTTTTGTTTTGTATAATACCGTATAGAACCTTGCGTTACCCTAAATTATAGGAAATTTAACAAAGGTTATAACCTCATTGTTAATTATGAAATATGAATTATTTTAAAATGGATTAGTTGAAAAAATGGCTACAGGAAAACATAAAAAAAAAAACAAATAACACAAGAATTATTTTAGACCTAATTCATCAAATTAATATTTAGTCATGCAACTATGATGGTATTATACGTCCAAATACTTAATGACTAGAAATAACTTAAATTTAAATTTACAATTCACATATCATAGTAAATTACATTCTTAAAATATCAAATAAACTTTATTATCTGCCAACTAGCATATAAATATATCTACTAACTTTTCAGTTAAACATTTTTTTCTTCTTACTAAGTACCTACTAAGTACTTATATTTAATGTAAGAAATTTAGAAAAAAATTATATAACTAAATTATTTATTATATGTTTAAGTAAAAATAAATAAAAATACATAGAAAACTATATATCTCATATACTATCTCGTTGTACCTAATTTTACAATATTATAATAGTATTATACAATAGATTTATTTAAGTCAATTTACACTTGAATGTTAAAAAGCTAAACAGACATGATTATAATTATATTTTTATAATAATACTGTATTTTATTGGAGATCCATTCTATAGGAACTACTAAAAAATTAATAATAATAAATTGTAAATATAACAGTGGTAATAACTAAAAATAATGCCTTAATTTTTTTTTTATACTGTCTGTATAAAATAATTAAATACCATGCGTATAATACCTTGTATAATACAGTTTTATACCACTGTATAATACAAACTCACATCTCTACATTAACCTCATTACCATATGTATATGTATAATATATAAAATTGCCTTTTGGTGGTGCATAATAAATAATAATTATATTTGAAATAATAAAATTAACTTTTTAAATAATATCACATGTTTGTGAATTAAAATGTCTAAATTATAAATAATTTATAACAAAAACCCTTTTATGTGTTTCAGAGGGTGGATACAACCATCGCAAAATAACCATGTTCCTTCTATACTTTGTAAAGATTATCGACCATTTGCTGTTATCGAAGGAGCAGGCTTCAAGCGACTTATAAAAGAATTGGCGCCATCTTACAAAATCCCCTCTATTACAACTTTAAAAAAGACTTTAGATGAAAAATATGAGGTAACAAAAAACCTTTTACAAAGTAGTCTATCAGAAACACAACATATATGTATTACATTTGATGTGTGGACAGAAACTATGAATGAAAAAAGTTTTCTTGGCGTAACAGTCCACTATCTTAAAGATATATATTTGAAGTCCCATTGTTTGGCGGTGGCAGAACTAAAAGAGCGACATACTGCCCAATATATTAGTGAAGTGTTAGAAAAAATTCTTTCTGATTGGAAAATTGATAAAAAGAAAATTGTTACTGTTGTAACAGACAATGGTGCGAATGTAGTATCTGCCGTTAACGGAATATTTGGAAGGAGCAAACATACACCATGTTTTGCACATACTATAAACTTGGTAGCAACTCATACAGTTGGACAAGATACCATCAAACCAATCATTTCAAAAGTTAGAGAAATTGTAAAGTGGGTAAAGAATAGTGTTATTATTAGTGATCTATTAAGAAAAAAAACAATTTGAAGCTGGAATACAGGAAGGAAATATGAAAAAATTAATTTTGGATGTTGCTACTCGGTGGAATTCGGTGTTTTTCATGATTAGACGATTTATTGAAATGGTGCCTTTTCTAAGCCCATTACTATTAAACGATATTTCAGCTCCTGTGATGCCAACTGCGGTAGAGATGGATATCCTCAAACAATTGCAAGACTTTTGCAACCACTAGAATTTGTTACCAAAGAATCCTCTGGAGAAAACTAATATTACCATATCAAAAATAATCCCAATGATACGTAAGTTGCCTTTTAAAACAATTGGAGCAAATGAAACCACGATTTGAAGTTTTAGTTGGTATTAAAAATATTTTAAATGCAGAAATTATTCGAAGATTTGGGTTGATAGAACAAATAAAACCAATTGCTATCGCTACTATTTTGGATCCTAGGTTTAGGAATCTTAATTTCAACGATGCGATTGCCTGTTCTAATGCAATGGCAGAACTAAGAAAATTATTAAAACCAGATTTTTCATCAAGTGAATCCGAAGGAGAAGTAGTACCATCAAATTCAGACGGTTATGATTTTTGGGCCCCCCACAAACAGTTAGCCCTTGGCCAAAAAAAGAAGAAGTCATTATCATACGTCAATGATGAATTATCTCTATATTTTTCAAATACCGTGTCTCCACTCAAATCGAATCCACTAATGCTATGGGAAGATATGAAGACAGTTTTCCCAATGTTATATAAACAAGCGCGCAAATCTTTCACTATGGTTGCTACATCTGTTCCGAGTGAGCGATTATTTTCGAAAGCTGGAGGAGTAATCACAAAAACCAGGAATCGATTAACAGGTTCACGCCTGGAAAAAATATTACTACTGGCCGATTTACCAGAAGATCAATGGTTTTAAATAATATATATGTATGTTTGTATAAATGAATTTTATGTAAATATGTAATAATAAAAAGGTGTTTTTGTATTTTATTTGTTTGGCATTTTTTACTTATTTTAAATAGGGTATAATGATAATTATTTTATTTAGATAAATAGAATTTATTTATATATCTCCTTTTAATTCGATACTTAATCGTTATTTTGATTATAATAATACAACAAACATTATGGTAAATAGTAATTTTTGTTATTTTTATGATTTAATTTTGTTTTATTAGTATAAACTTGGATACCATAACATGATAATTATTTTATTATTATAATATTAAAATCATATGAAAGAATAATGTATGGAATTCGTATACATTCTTTTTTCATTTGCTGCTCATATCGGTCCTTTTGATATGATATTATAGTTATACCGATACTTTAATTCGATTCGATACTTTTCTTTCGATACCTACTCATATCGGTACTTTTGTTTCGATACTTTACTCATATCAGTATTTTAATTCGATTCGATACCAAGTAAAAGTATCGATATTTTTCTTTTGATACCACGTCCCTAATGACAGACAAAAAATTGAATTACTAGGCGGCTGATCGCTTGACCACCGGTCGGCGAGTTGTCGTCGGATTGCGGAGGGGGAGCTTGCCGGGAGCTTGTATATTCGTCGTGTTCGTGGGGTCCCGCGCAAGCTCAATGGCGGTAAAAAGTGTTCCGCGTTCAAACACCTAGTATTTTATTACAAATCCAAACTCCAGTGTAGTGTAATTTTGGTCTATCTTTATTCGCAATCGTTTTTCATAATAATATGCAGATTTATCGTTAGTTTCTAAATTTAACATATTCAATATGCACCTACTCAATATTAAAATACAACTGCATTATTTTATTTATAAATAATAATAATAATATTTAATTAATTGTATTATTTGTTGTTGCGATTTTATACTTTTAAAATTTGAACATAAAATAATTTATTTTATTTTATAAAAAACCACTAAGTAATAAAACTATGAAATGGATAAAAATTTGCTGTATTGTTAAAATTTGGTAAATCTTGTGTAGTGTATAATGTAAATTGTAATATAATATTTTTTTACAAAGCAGATTTTACTGAATTATAGCATTGCAAAATGAATTAATTTTTCGTATTTTTCGACTTTTTGGTCGCGTACAACACAACGTAATAATTAATAATAATTTTACAATATTGTGGTAATATTGTGATGCACGGAAAATATCATTTATCTACGATAAAGAAATTTATAAGCTTATCGCTTTTTCTGTCATTGCCAAAAACCGGTCTAATAATGTTATTACTATTTGCCGCCAGTACCTACTCAGTATTAATAATATAATATTAATTCATACACGCTACCTATTGGCAGCTGTTATAAATAAAATTTTTGTCACCGAAAATCCCTATACCATTGTCTATCTGTCTATTCTATAATCAATGATAATATTTATAAAATAAATACCTACTGTAATACTATAATTATTTATATTACCTATTGCAATTGCAGTACCTATATGTAAAAAAAAAACAATATGTATAAACTAAACATTTTCATTGTTCATATGATATATATAAATTTAAATTAAGGCTCGGTACACACGTGCGTTATTTTGACGTGCGGCGCCGCTGCGTCATCGTAATTATAATATACACACGTGCGTTATTTTGACGCGCAGCACCGCTTGAACACCGACGTTTTTAAACTACGACAATTGTGTCGTTACATTACGCGAAGTGACTACTGATTATGGAAGTGTATAACAGAAAACGGGTAGTTTTTGCATATTTAGTTTATAAAAAGTATTTGTCGAAGAAAAACAGGCGTTACTGGGTACATCCCTTTACCGATTCAAGGCTTTTGAGGGGACATTTTTCAATGTCTTTCGAAGACTTCAGAAATAATCCAGACAAATTTTACAATTATTTTCGAATGAGTGTGAAGTCATTTGATGAATTGGCTGCAAGATTAATCGACAAAATTAAAAAGAATGATACTTTTATGAGAAAAGCTATACCCCCAATTGAAATGCTAGTTGTAACTCTGAGGTGAGTAAATTTGACACATTGTACTTTATTTTATTTTAGATTCTGAGTAATGAGTGTAAATTAATTAATATTTAACTAGGAACTATGTTTTAACGCTTATCCTATACAATGAGTCAATGTTACAATTGTACATTATACTCATATATTATAATATGTATAAAATAATATTTGAAAATACAAATTATTATTTTTTATAGGATATTATACAATAAGTTGGCCATTCAAATTATAAACAATGAATAGTATTATTTAAATAAAAATAAACTTAATAATATACTGATTTTACTAAGAATATATTCATTAAAATTTAAAACTGTTATTGCAGCTGGTAAAGAAAAAAGCAATTTACATTAGATAATCAAAGCTTAACAAAGTTAGATTAACATAAATTTAACAAAGTTAATACAAAAATGTTACTTATATAATTTGTGTGAAAACTTATCTTTGATTATTAAATAAAATCAGGCACTCGTCGTCAGTAACAACTTCAGCTTCGTTGACACTTGATGATGAAGTAAGTGGAGATGACACACTGTATTGCGATGCATTGTTGAAGTCGATGTCCTGTGAAGGTGGAGAACGCACATGGCTTTCGGTTGTCATATATTTAGTCGAACATGATTTACTTATTCGAGTTCCAGATGACTGTTGAATATTTGGTAGCTTTTGCGTTGAATATGCCGGAATGGAAGTAGTAGAAGCAGTATTATGAGTACTGAAAATCTGTAATGGATTTTGTGTGGTATACGAAGTGTGTGGTTGAATAAGTTGATTGGTACTGGCAGGTTTGATAGAAGTTCTAAGCTGCGATGGAGGGTAATGCGTTTCATATAATTGAAGATAGTTTTGGTGAAGAGGTGGAAATGTTTGATTATTGGTTGTTGCAATCCCAGTTGGTAATTGGCTTGATTGAGTTGGAGTTAGTGTGCAATTTGGGGGTGGCTGATGTGGATATATTATATTATGTGTACCGGGATGAGGAGGATATCCCATATAATTAAAATTGGGTGGATTTGCTGTTGGGGTTGGCCTTTGCCGTGCCTTTTGGATCCTCTTTATAATAGACAAGACTTCCATTCTAAAGTCTATAACTTCCTCTTCTGTGAAACCATTTAATATCGGGACAAGGCTTTCAAAAAATGACTGATTTGGATTAGCTTGTATTTCTTTAGTTGTAGGAGAAGGTATAGGCGCGTTCATAAAAGCTAATAGACTTGATTCCAAGTCATGTTTGCGCGAGCGTTTATGGCTGACACTGTTATTAGGAGTTAAATTATTCTGATCACATTCTAATTCGGTTTCTGCTGTTAATTCCTCATTATCTACATCACTCATACGCTGTTCAGAATTCAAACTAGATTCAGTTTCAGGAACGAGGCAAGTTTGTGTTAGAAATGATAACTGTCTTGCATATAAATATTGCCGCCCTTTGTTAAAACCTGATCCAGACTTAGGTTTCTTTAAAGTTTTTAAATACGTATCTTTAATATTTCTCCATTTCTTTACTAATACATTGTCTAGAATAAAATAATAAATAAAAAGGTGGGTCTGCTGTATAATAGGTTAAATGCAATTACAAAATAATAATTAAAAAATTAATAATTATATATTATATATATTTTACGCGTTTTCGCCCAACAATTAAAATTTTATTGACATTCAATATAAAAAATCTAAAAAAATTGGAAATTGACAATGTCCGTGAACAGCTTAGAACAAATCAAAATATTTTGAACATTTTATCATGTATAGAAAATGCTCATATAAACAACCAGTGAAAATTTCATGTATCTACATTCTACGGTCATTCATTTTAAAGTTACATCCAACACTAAATTTGATTTTGCCGAAAAATCGATTTTGCGTAAAAATTCCCGGTTTTCTTTAATTTTTAAGTTGTTTTTCCCAGCGCTTTTGAAAACTATTGCGAAATTTTTACTTTTGACCCCCCTAAGTACCAACTAGATTCACTCCGTTCAGAATCTAAAAATAAAAATTGTAAAATGAACTTGAAAATGTATAGGAAATAAAAATGAATTCGTTAAATATTTTATTTAGAATTATTACACTGTTGATTTTCAATTTATATATTTTGTTAAAGATACTTAGGAAGTGGATGTGACCAAAAAGACCTACATTTGACGTACAGATTAGGACATTCTACCATTGGATACATTATTAGAAGAGTTTGCACAGCTATTTGGGAAACTTTGAAAGAGGAATGTTTCCCCGAACTGACACAAGAACATTGGAAAAAAATCGCCGATTGTTTTTATCAGAGAACCCAATTTCCTAATTGTATAGGCGCGATTGACGGGAAACACGTCAGAATAATGAAACCAAAATTGAGTGGATCGCTGTTTCACAATTATAAACATTATTATTCGATTGTGTTACTAGCTATTGCTGATGCGGACTACATATTTGTATATATTGACGTTGGTTCTTTCGGAAAAGACGCCGATAGCACTATATTTGAAAGAACTGATTTTTTTAAAAAACTAGAAAATAATGAACTAAATATTCCGGCTAGTCAACCTCTTCCAGGAACCGAAAATCTAAGCCTTCCATACATTTTTGTCGGCGACGAAGCGTTTTCCATTTCTCAACACATTATGCGGCCCTACAGAGGAAAAATATTGTCTGAAGAAAAAAGAATTTTTAATTATAGATTGTCCCGTGCTCGCCGAAATGTGGAAAGTACATTTGGTATACTTTCCAACAAATGGAAAATTTTCCATACACCAATTAATGGAAATTTAGATTTAGCTAAACTTATTATAAAGACATGTTGCAGTCTACATAACTATGTGAGGACTAGAGATGGATTTCACATTGAAGACGCCATGAGTGTAGAGTTTGCACATAATGAGGGAATCAGAACAGCAACTACTAGACCTACTCTGCAATCAACGCGTATTCGCAACTTGTTTACCAATTATTT